ATATACACATATATACACATATATACATATATACATACATATATATATATATATGTATATATATATATATATATGTATATATATATATATGTGTGTGTGTGTGAACCCGACCCGATTCAAGCCCGGGGTAATTCTGTGAAATTACAGTCCGGTCCAAACCCGGCAGGTTGGACACAATCTGGTTTGGGCAGCGAATCAAAGCTCTGATTAGCTTTGGACAAGAATAAACACACAAACCTTCAAACTAAAGTTTTTTCTTAATATTAGGTTGTGTACAACCTCAACAGTTATCAATTGCTCTGTTTTCAGGTTGAAGTTGGGTGAGTGTTAATGTCTGCGAAGGACACTTAACTTTAGCATTTGTAAGGATGATGAAATTGTGCATTCCTCTACCATAGCAGGTCAAACACACCAAGCAAAAAAAAACTACAAAAAAGGTTTGGAAGCTTTCAGACACGCACGGACTGAACATGCCCACACAGGCCTGATCAAAATGATTGAAAACACCTGTGTGTGTGTGTGTGCACCATGGCCATGTAGGGCCGTACTTATTTCGAGGGATTATGATGTCTGAAGTCACTGGACCTCTTTACCAATAAAAGGGAACTTCCCTGCACGTCAGTTTTGCTGTAACAGTGGGAGGTGAAAACGTTGAAGCTCAATATTTCAAAGCCACTTCGATGTCAAGCAGAGAAAATACAACACCAACTTCACAGAGTCCCGTTTCCTCTACTTTGTGCTTCTTTGAGAGTTTTGCTTTCAACTGGGTCACGAGCAAGTAGACAAATCCAATTTTTCATAATCTTACGTAACCCAGAGCCCTCGGTGGCTGTGCTGTGTGTGTGTGTTAAGCTTGTCAAATACAGATTGATCACAGAGCTTAAACCTTACCCAAAGCTAACACTGATAACCAACAATCAAAGTTTGTTTACTGTTTTCATCATGCTAGGACTGTACGGCTTCCAGAATACAGTGTTTTGGAAGAACTACTGCTAAAAAATAAAATCAATGAGAGTTCATAATTCACTCTCTAAAAGGCAGACCATCCAATCGTTTAGTCAACATCATTATTTTCTTCAAAAGGAGCCTATAATCTGTTGTACTTTTTTGCTTTCTGTTGTCGTATAACGGCCGATGTGAAGAACTCACATTCCATTTCCTGTCAATGTTTCTTCTGTATTGCAGGTCAAAAGAGCATGCGAGTCACGAGTCTGCTAATTTGCCAGGGGCTGTTGTGGGTGGGCACTGCCCAAGGCTTAATTATCACTCTTCCAGTTCCTAAACTCGAGGGCATCCCCAAAATAACAGGTACTGTGATTGAACGGTCTCTTGAGTGTTGGTTTTTTTCATGATAGAAAATGACTCTGCACTGCCCATTATTGAGGTCGCACTTGTTTTTTTCTTGTGGCTCCGGGAATCAGTGAAAATATTACCGGGCAGGCAACACACAAATCATAGTGTGTGTGTGTATATAATGTTGCAGGGTAATTTAAGAAACTGCCTGCCAGCGTTTTGTTAATTATGCCAAGTGAATGAGGTCGTTAGTTTCCCACTTGTACAAACTATACCTCATGACCCCTTTATTCCGAGCCAGTTCATTGAATACTATGCAAACACACTACACACTGCAGCTATACCAGTATTACTGTTTCAGTTACAAATACAGTTAACTGACATAGAGTATGATCCAGGGTTCAAGTCATCATAATCTCGTTTAAGTATGACTGACAATGACATAACCTTACAGCAGTTTAAGAGCAGTATTTATTGCCTCTCTGGAGGATATTTTATATATATATATATATATATATATATATATATTCTGTCTACGTCCTACAGGAAAAGGAATGGTCTCTCTAAATGCCCATTGTGGGCCCGTGGACTTCCTGGTAGCCACCACCAGCACTCTGTCTCCTGAGCTGCTGAAGAGGGATTCTGTCGGGGACGGCCCGGACTCTGCCTTCGGGGGCGAGGACCGCAGCGACACCTCCTCTCAGGAATCCCTGCAACAGTCCTACCAGGGAGAGGGGCGAGGCAAAGGACGCGGTGTTCTGCTGCAGTACAAGCTGCGCTCCACATCGGGACTGCCCGGACGGCCGTTGACGGCGCTGGGCGACGAGGCTTCGGACTCCTCCCTGGAGTCTCTGGAGCACAGTGTGGAAGATGGATCCATCTACGAGCTCAGCGATGACCCAGAAATGTGGGTCCGGGGACGTCCTTGCGAGAGGGACGGGGGACGCAGGGACAGGGTGATCTCTGCGGCGGTACTCTCTGGAGGCAGGGGCTTCCACAGACTGAAGGAAGGAGCAGCAGCAGGTACTAGGACAAGTGGGGAGGGTTTAGAGAATATTCTTATGGTATGGCAGCTCCCACTGACAGTGTGATATGGGAAACATAAGGCAAGGTGATGGGTATTTATAGATGTAGTCTACCCAGCTTAGCTTTGAATCAACCGTTCCATAAATTCAAAGGATTTGAATAAACATGTATGATGTGAAGGCGTTGCCACTGTAACGGAGCTTGACATGCTACGATTTAGCTTGTAGAATAAGGAAGCTAAGACGTGCTGTTTCCCAGAGGTACCGTCAGCCTATAGGACGTTTCCAATGTGCTCGATTGTGCGTCATCACCTCCCCAGCAGTGGCGGAGGCCGCCGCGGATTAGTTCCGTGTGATCTTTTTGATCTGCTTCCTCTCCCTGCCTTCGTTAAGATGGATGCGCCTCAATTTAACCTCATCATCGCGGCGCAAGCTCCGCCACATTTATTTTATTGCGAAGGACTTCTGTGTGAGCAACCGCGGACCGCTCGCTTCCGAGGGGGCCGCCTTTGTTGAGTCTGCCATGCTCCGCAGAGTTAGAGATGGACATCTTTTATCTGATCCTGTGGGACAGATCCCATCTGTTTAGAGCTGAAAGCTGGGGACTTACACCGCATCACAAAGCACATGAGCATCACTTTATTAGCTTTGCCAGCCTTTCTCTCATCCCATACAATGTGAATGTAAGATACCTTCTATTATGTCTCAAAATTGAATCTGTGCTCTCTTTAAAAAAGAAAAAAGGATATTTTCTCCTTGCAGCTGTTGCGGAAATGATGTTTGGTTACAGAAAATGAGTGCTTACCACTTTATTGAGGAGGGTCATGGCAGTACAGACTCGCTGCAAAACTGTTGTAAAAACAACTGATTTCGAAAACAAAGGTTACAATAGTCAAAGATGTTAGTACACGACATTACAGAATCTATATTTGCTCAGATGTATTTGAGGAAAAGACAATTTGAACAGTATGATCTGCTTCCTGCAAATGCCCCATATACGTTTCATTATTCACTGACCCCATCAGCTGGATGAAACACTACACTGCACACATTAGCTGGAAGCCTCTGTTACACATCAAAAGCAAAACTCTACAATCACACGATGAAATGAAACGGCTGCCGCCGCCATCTGAACTGCTATCAGCTGTGTATCAACAGAGAAAACAAACCTAAGAGAGACACCGATGAGCATGTTTTACATGCATATTCATTTTCAATAATATGCAACATGATTCTGATTAAAGAGGGTGATTTACATTACATATGTCTATATTACAATTAACACACCGTGATGTATTTGATCTCTGATATTAGCCTTAGAATCCAAGTCATGCTAACTGTGTCCCATCAGCAGCTGTTTTCATGCTAATATTTGGTCAATATTTGGAGTTTAATGCAAATACTAATGTTTTTATGATGAAAATATGAGGACGCATGTAAATATCTTGTCATGCATGTTGGGTGGAAACCTCGCATCTCCATTTGTGAAAGACTATTATACTCGGCTTATGAAAACCGTTTTAACCACGTTTAATTGTTCAAGTTCTTCTTTTTTTACTGATAAGACCATGAGATTTTGGAAATACACCAGCAGGAGTGTGATGAATCGGAGCTGGTCGGAGAAGCACTCAGTGGAATATTGTGTTGACTTCATAACTTGCTAATTTAAATCGCTGGTAGCGTTGGCAGGCGTGTAAACATGCACTATTGACATTGGCATGCGTCTTGAAGAGAAACTCAAGAAGTACTTTACAGCGCATGTATTTCACAGTGTGTTGAGCGTGTAGGCGGAGGCCATGCAAGTAGCCAAGTATGAAGATCTTTGTAAAATTTCAATAAACAGAGTGATGGCGAAGGTTATGGTATATAATTCTTCTCCACCTCTATCTCTACTTAGCCTTTTCCCCCACACATGGAATCTCATCTTATCCTTCCACACGGATGAAGCGTGAAAATTCATGTTTTCTACTTCCCTGAGGCACATCAAGGTTTATTTTCCCTTTTCTTCTCCTCACAACTGGAGCATTTCAACATCCTATCAGCCAGGCTCATTATACAAAAAAAAAAAGACGGCGATGTAAACTGTATGGATGCTGTCATCTAAATGTAAATCTCAATGTCACCTCAAAAATGTATACTCTTTCAATGCTGCTGGAGCCACAACTCCCTAATGGTCACTAGAGATGTTTTTTGTTCAACCTCAACTGGATGATAAGTGTTTTCCTGTTCAAGCTCATCCGCTAACAACTGAGATTTAATCTCACGAGCACAGAAGAGTGACATTTGATGGACGTTGACTCATACATTTCAATGTGTACAGGTATTATCCATGCACTGAATATGAATAGTTGTGAATGAACGTACTGTACTACTAATTAAACTGCTACTGTACTAATTTAACCTGCATTTTCTTTTGTAAAGAGGACTCTGTAACAGTATTGATGTTTTAGATGAGACTGTATAAGACAGAGAATCTCGTTTATTACAGACTGGATCTTGTTGTTTTTTTTTAGATTTGGCCATCAGTTGTGGTAACACCATTGTGCCATTAGTGAATAGCTGAGATCTGGGAATGCGTGGACATCACTAAGAAGAGGTCACATGATCGTTCAGGTTTTTAGCAAACACCTTGGATATCCGGACCTATTTGGAAGAAAGAAACAGGAAAGCATTACATCTTATATACCTAAACCGTCTGTCGTAGACGTCCGTCTCAGTTCACAGACCGACTTTGACCTCTGTGTTTACAACCTGTGTGATCATCTGACTGCCCGTTTCTCCACACGATCACTGATTGAAATGATGGCCAAACCTACAAAAGACAGGTCATTAACGTAAAGTCTTACACTCACAGGCATGTGGAAACACAGTGCTCATTTCCATTTGGTACAATACTTGTGAAGTGTTACATGTCTAAACATTGTCTAACAAGCTTACGCTGAATTAAAAACATGTCTAAACTTGACTTTGAGCCTTTTTTTAATATTATTTAGAGTGATGTCGGTTGATGTTGTCAAAGATGCTGCAGTTCATATGCAGCATCGTTATACTAATGATGCCACACTTCAGCTGCTTCTCTTTGACTCAACAACAGATAATCCAGTCTTTGAGCTATCATTTGGATTATCTTCTCAATTTTTGGGTGTTTGGGTATTCAAATTACAATCAGCTGACCTCTACATCTGCAGGCAGCCAGTGCTGAAATAACAACAAGTAAGAATACAGACACTATATATATATATATTTCAATTTCCTGTTAATGTTTATTTGGTGCTCAGCAGTGTTCCATCTCCAATACACTTCCCTCTGGACATCACACAGTCCAGTTTATACGTTTCTTATTGCTTTCACAAGAGCATAACTCGCTTCAAGGAACATACATTTAATCAATTGAAAAAAATATATTAACCCTTTCTTTCAAGCTACAAAAGCAACAGCAGAATTGGGGAAAAGAATAGCTTGAATTGACATTTCACATCAATTATAGGCAAACCATAGTATTAAAGTTTAAGTTAAAGGTTGACTGTGTTTTCAAATGGAAACGGACACTCAGCCGTGAGTAAAGAGCAGCGACGTAGGGTACCTAAGCTAAACAATAAGGTTATGTGAAGGCTAGAACCCCAAACATTTTGGTGAAGTGGGGTTGTCTTACACTTCCTTGAGTCTTGTGGCTTTGAAGAGAGCAATAAAACGTCTTCAATACCCCGTCTGTGCGGGGGGGGTCTGATGGCAAGGTAATCCGGCTGTGGACGAGAGCAGAACATCTTTCTTGCCACCCAAAAAAAGGCCCACGTAAAACAAAATGTTATGTTTAGGGTAGACTATATTTAGAAGATTTTCACCCCTCTATGATGCCAACAAACAGCCTTTTCTGACAGGGAACTGAAGTGGTTATATCGCTCTCCTAAAAGCCAAAAGACTAAAGTCATTTTACCTGGCAGGACACAGGAGTTGCTGGTCTACCCATCGACTGCAAATAAGAAGTGGACGTAGGCACCGTGACGTCACCTATTGGTTTGTGTACTGCCGTTTTGAAGTACTCGAGTTCAGCCATTAAATGATCACCATTGAGACGTGGTAGTGTCACATCCTTTATGCCTCTTCTCCTTCATCCTAGGTATCCATCCGTAAGTCGTTGCTGGCACAGTACACTTCAGGGGATTGCTACAAGCGAGCTCAAACCGCAGGTGAAAACACTCAGGGGAACGCTGCCATCCACCTCCTCCCCTTGCTCTCTTCGCTTGTCTTTATCTATGTCCCTCTCCCTCGCTGTGTTTCTTTATCCCCGTTCTCTTCCAACACGTGTCGAAGGAGTCCGCACTGAATATAAATCCACTACCCGCCATAGTAGGAAATTAAGCATTGAAGCTATTTCCTCATGACCAATCATCAGGTCACTGTGTGCTGTTGCCCTTTGACCTGAAAGTTACATTAATAGCCTCCCCCTCCTACCAACTCCACATGGGGCAGTCAGGCCACATAAAGGCCCCCCTCCCCACCTGCTTCGGTGCTGACAATGTCAGATAAAAGGACATGGGGCGGGTGGAGCGGGAACACATCCACTGAAATCAGCCTCAGCAGTGGCTTGGGAAATTAGAAAGGTCGACGCGAACAGAAACCGTAGCTTATGGGCTAAATCAGCCAGATGGAGGTTCAGGTGTGTAAAGCAATATTTACATAATTATGGCACGAAATCATCCCAGCCAGCTGAGGCTTTCAAACATACCGTAGCGTCATGTAAATCAACTTGAAGCTGCGCATGAAAAACTGTTATAATAACACAAACAAACATGGATTTTGTTTTTCTCCAATTAAATGTCTTCACCAGTCATTCAGTTCAATATGCAAAATGAATGGGCTGCCGTTAATATGCCTGCGCGTCCTCTGTGGCTGTGTATAATCTAGGCTTTGTTTACTTGTACTCTTTTCAGTTTTTCCTGCAAGCTCTCATTTACCCAAAGTTTTTTTTGGCTCACGAACGTCATCCTGGGAGCGCCCCAACAAGCAAAACCAGCAATCCAGCAACACAATGAGGATCACGCGGCTACGGGAAGCTCCTGAAAGGGTCCATAAAGAACTCCGGCGAGGATTGAGAGTGTGCCACTGATCTGATAAAGCAGTGCTGAATTGCGCCTTGTACTCGGGTCAGCAGTAGAACACATCCTGGCCTGCAAGCGAAACGACAACAAAAAAACGAGAGGCCCGGAATGCTGCGCTAGCGTTTCATGGTCAAGACTCACACAGCATAGGGTACAAATATGTGTGCTTTTTCAGGTGGGGGGGGAATTAGCTTTTTCTAAACCTTTCTATGGATATTTTCTGCCAATTAACCCTGCCTCAGGAGAGATTTGCCTATCTCAAGGCCCAGCTTTGCGCCTGTGCGGCTCGCGGCGTCACTCTCCCCACGTCTCAGGTATAATTTGCATGCCTCGGTCAAGTCTAAACTGAAGCGGATGAAGCGTCTCGGTTTGAAGGTCTCTCTGCTTTATCTGCCCGACTCCTAAAAACCGGGGCATATTTGCATTGCTTTTCATTTCCGCAAGGCTCGGGCGGCTCTGATGATAAAGGAGGAAGAGCACACTGTACAAACCTGGCTTCACAAAGGAAGCGGTAGCTAATGATTTGCATACGGAGAATGCAATGGATAAAGGCCCACACGGGGCTGCCTCGGGTGTTATCCCGAGAGGGGGGGCTGGGTCACATCTTGGTGTCCGATGTAGCTGTCTCCCCTGGCAGAGTCTCTCTCACGTGAACCAAAAAAACAAACAAATCTATATTTTAATAGAGGATACTGTGTTCTAGTTCCACTAACTTCCAGATCTGGGGACTAAACTCCCCCACTTCCTCCAAACTCCTCCCCCCCCCCTCAGTGCTCAGTCTCACATTGCTTTGTCTTTTGGAATGCTCTCACTGCCGCTCACAGATATGTTTTATTTACTTACCTTTTTAATGATGCAAGAGATTAATGAAAATTTGATCACCGTACATTATTCAACCTGCCCCCCCCACCCCCCACCCCCCGGGAGAGGGGTCTTCATAATGGCATGACACCGTGCGTGTATTGAATAGTTACAATCTCACACAATATTTATCCCTTTGTCCATCTATAGAGGTACTGAAAAATAAATGTAGTGGCATCTCTGTAATGCTTTCTTATTCTGCACCTTCCTTTTGGCAAAGACGTTATGATTTTTTTTTTAGTCTGTAAAATCATAATAGGTGAACTGCAGCTGAGGACTTTTATAGGCAATTTCCTCAAAACACATTTGTACAATGTCTCGGAGCCGATACTCCCACCCTCTCTCTTATTTACTGTTATATGTATAAACATGCCACTTTCACATGCTCGGCACTTCCCTCTGTCCTGCCGTGTTTTATTTTCTCAGACTGTTTGAGCCTTTGAAGGGTGACCTTCAATTCATATATCTATTGTTATAACTCTCTGCTACTATCTCAGTGGGACCTCTGTGGAGAAGATAACATTTCTTTTTATGTTTCGCAGTGAATGAAGTCACTTTGTGCCAACACTGCTCAAACAAAATGAGAACGTTAGCATTCAGGTCCAGTCTTTTTCTCCTCTTTTTGCGTCGTTGTTGGATTTTGGATGTCAGTCAGAGAACGTTTCGGAGGGAAATAACGCGCTGAAAGCGGCCGCATTTCACCGGTGGATGAAAATACGGCTCAAACCATTTTCGGCATCAACTCCAACAACGTCTCATCTCGGCTTACCCCTTCTGTCTGTTTGACATGCTGATGCAATACTTTCATCACCTGCAGGAGGAGGATTCACAGGAACGCTGAACAATATTCATTCCAAGCCTGTTGCATTAATGATAGTTTTCAGTGTTTTGACTCTCTGCAGTTCGGTCCAGTTTTTTACTCACTATTAGGGAGTCTCTGACTTGCTCTCAATCATTCACTTTCTTCGAACATCTCCATCTCTTTCTCTCTCTTTCCTCTCTCCCCTCCCGGGGGAAGAGTCGTAAAGCTGCAGCTCACCTGGTGTTCAATCACCCCAAGTTCTCCCACACAACTTCCCTTCTCCGTTCTCTACACTGGCTCCCTGTAAGAGCTCGCATCCAGTTTAAGACTGTGGTGCTAGCCTACAGGGCAGTGAAAGGAACAGCTCCTTCCTATCTCCAGGCTATGGTCAAGCCCTACACCCCCGCCTGACCTCTTTGCTCTGCTGCCTCGGGGCGATTGGTTGCCCCGTTGCTCAGAGGTCCCTGCGGCCGATCGACCCGGTGGCAGCTGTTTTCTGTCCTGGCCCCACAGTGGTGGAATGAACTCCCCACTGATGTCAGGAGAGCAGAGTCGCTGTCCATCTTTCGGCGCAGGCTGAAAACTCACCTCTTCAAGAAGTACTACCTTGAGCCTTCCACTCAGCACGTGTTGTATTCATACTACTTTGTTGCACTTATTGTATTCGTTTGTTTCTGCACTGTACTTTTGCTCTGGTTTATGCTCTTAGATGCTTGTTTAAAAAAGGAGATGCACTTATGACTTCTGGTGACTAGCAGTTCTCTTGAATACCTACAGTTGTTTGAAAAAGTGTTTGCCCCCTTCCTGATTTCTTATTTCTTTGCATGTTTGTCACACTTAAATGTTTCAGATCATCAAACAAATTTAAATATTAGACAAAGATAACACAAGTAAACACAAAATGCAGTTTTTAAATGAAGGTTTTTATTATTAAGGGGGAAAAAAATCCAAACCTACATGGCCCTGTGTGAAAAAGTGATTGTCCCCTAAACCTAATAACTGGTTGGGCCACCCTTAGCAGCAACAACTGCAATCAAGCGTTTGCGATAACTGGCAATGAGTCTTACAGCGCTGTAGAGGAATTTTGGCCCACTCATCTTTGCAGAATTGTTGTAATTCAGCCACATTGGAGGGTTTTCGAGCATGAACCGCATTTTTAAGGTCATGCCACAGCATCTCAATCGGATTCAGGTCGGGACTTTG